GGTTTCTGAGTGTGTGTGGGGATGATAGGGTTTCTGAGTGTGTGTGGGGGATGATAGGGTTTCTGAGTGTGTGTGGGGATGATAGGGTTTCTGAGTGTGTGTGTGGATGATAGGGTTTCTGAGTGTGTGTGGGGGGATGATAGGGTTTCTGAGTGTGTGGGGGGATGATAGGGTTTCTGAGTGTGTGGGGGGATGATAGGGTTTCTGAGTGTGTGTGGGGATGATAGGGTTTCTGAGTGTGTGTGTGGGTGATAGGGTTTCTGAGTGTGTGGGGGGATGATAGGGTTTCTGAGTGTGTGGGGGATGATAGGGTTTCTGAGTGTGTGGGGATGATAGGGTTTCTGAGTGTGTGTGTGGGTGATAGGGTTTCTGAGTGTGTGTGGGGGGATGATAGGGTTTCTGAGTGTGTGTGTGGGGATGATAGGGTTTCTGAGTGTGTGTGTGGGTGATAGGGTTTCTGAGTGTGTGTGGGGGGATGATAGGGTTTCTGAGTGTGTGTGGGGGGATGATAGGGTTTCTGAGTGTGTGTGTGGGGATGATAGGGTTTCTGAGTGAGTGTGGGGGGATGATAGGGTTTCTGAGTGTGTGGGGGGATGATAGGGTTTCTGAGTGTGTGGAGGGATGATAGGGTTTCTGAGTGTGTGTGGGGATGATAGGGTTTCTGAGTGTGTGTGTGGGGATGATAGGGTTTCTGAGTGTGTGGGGGGATGATAGGGTTTCTGAGTGTGTGGGGGGATGATAGGGTTTCTGAGTGTGTGTGGGATGATAGGGTTTCTGAGTGTGTGTGTGGGGTGATAGGGTTTCTGAGTGTGTGTGGGGGGATGATAGGGTTTCTGAGTGTGTGTGGGGGGATGATAGGGTTTCTGAGTGTGTGGGGGATGATAGGGTTTCTGAGTGTGTGGGGATGATAGGGTTTCTGAGTGTGTGTGTGGGTGATAGGGTTTCTGAGTGTGTGTGGGGGATGATAGGGTTTCTGAGTGTGTGTGTGGGGATGATAGGGTTTCTGAGTGTGTGTGGGGGGATGATAGTGTTTCTGAGTGTGTGTGGGGATGATAGGGTTTCTGAGTGTGTGTGTGGGTGATAGGGTTTCTGAGTGTGTGTGGGGGGTGATAGGGTTTCTGAGTGTGTGTGGGGGGATGATAGGGTTTCTGAGTGTGTGGGGGATGATAGGGTTTCTGAGTGTATGGGGGGATGATAGGGTTTCTGAGTGTGTGTGGGGATGATAGGGTTTCTGAGTGTGTGTGGGGGGATGATAGGGTTTCTGAGTGTGTGGGGGGATGATAGGGTTTCTGAGTGTGTGGGGGGATGATAGGGTTTCTGAGTGTGTGTGGAGGGATGATAGGGTTTCTGAGTGTGTGTGGGGGGATGATAGGGTTTCTGAGTGTGTGTGGGGGGATGATAGGGTTTCTGAGTGTGTGTGTGGGGATGATAGGGTTTCTGAGTGTGTGTGGGGGGATGATAGGGTTTCTGAGTGTGTGGAGGGATGATAGGGTTTCTGAGTGTGTGGGGGGATGATAGGGTTTCTGAGTGTGTGTGGATGATAGGGTTTCTGAGTGTGTGGAGGGATGATAGGGTTTCTGAGTGTGTGTGGGGGATGATAGGGTTTCTGAGTGTGTGTGTGGGGATGATAGGGTTTCTGAGTGTGTGGGGGGATGATAGGGTTTCTGAGTGTGTGTGGGATGATAGGGTTTCTGAGTGTGTGTGGGGGGATGATAGGGTTTCTGAGTGTGTGTGGGGGGATGATAGGGTTTCTGAGTGTGTGTGTGGGTGATAGGGTTTCTGAGTGTGTGTGGGGATGATAGGGTTTCTGAGTGTGTGTGTGGGTGATAGGGTTTCTGAGTGTGTGGGGGGATGATAGGGTTTCTGAGTGTGTGGAGGGATGATAGGGTTTCTGAGTGTGTGTGGGGATGATAGGGTTTCTGAGTGTGTGTGGGGGGATGATAGGGTTTCTGAGTGTGTGGGGGGATGATAGGGTTTCTGAGTGTGTGGGGGATGATAGGGTTTCTGAGTGTGTGGGGATGATAGGGTTTCTGAGTGTGTGTGTGGGTGATAGGGTTTCTGAGTGTGTGTGGGGGGATGATAGGGTTTCTGAGTGTGTGTGTGGGGATGATAGGGTTTCTGAGTGTGTGTGGGGGATGATAGGGTTTCTGAGTGTGTGGAGGGATGATAGGGTTTCTGAGTGTGTGTGGGGGGATGATAGGGTTTCTGAGTGTGTGTGGGATGATAGGGTTTCTGAGTGTGTGTGGGGGGATGATAGGGTTTCTGAGTGTGTGTGTGGGTGATAGGGTTTCTGAGTGTGTGTGGGGGGATGATAGGGTTTCTGAGTGTGTGTGTGGGTGATAGGGTTTCTGAGTGTGTGGGGGGATGATAGGGTTTCTGAGTGTGTGGAGGGATGATAGGGTTTCTGAGTGTGTGTGGGGGGATGATAGGGTTTCTGAGTGTGTGTGGGATGATAGGGTTTCTGAGTGTGTGTGGGGGGATGATAGGGTTTCTGAGTGTGTGTGTGGGTGATAGGGTTTCTGAGTGTGTGGGGGGATGATAGGGTTTCTGAGTGTGTGGAGGGATGATAGGGTTTCTGAGTGTGTGTGGGGATGATAGGGTTTCTGAGTGTGTGTGGGGGGATGATAGGGTTTCTGAGTGTGTGGGGGGATGATAGGGTTTCTGAGTGTGTGTGTGGATGATAGGGTTTCTGAGTGTGTGTGGATGATAGGGTTTCTGAGTGTGTGGAGGGATGATAGGGTTTCTGAGTGTGTGTGGGGGGATGATAGGGTTTCTGAGTGTGTGGGGGGATGATAGGGTTTCTGAGTGTGTGTGGGGATGATAGGGTTTCTGAGTGTGTGTGGGGGGATGATAGGGTTTCTGAGTGTGTGGGGGGATGATAGGGTTTCTGAGTGTGTGTGTGGATGATAGGGTTTCTGAGTGTGTGGGGGGATGATAGGGTTTCTGAGTGTGTGGGGGGATGATAGGGTTTCTGAGTGTGTGGAGGGATGATAGGGTTTCTGAGTGTGTGTGGGGATGATAGGGTTTCTGAGTGTGTGTGGGGGGATGATAGTGTTTCTGAGTGTGTGGGGGATGATAGGGTTTCTGAGTGTGGGGGGATGATAGGGTTTCTGAGTGTGTGTGGGGGGATGATAGGGTTTCTGAGTGTGTGTGTGGGTGATAGGGTTTCTGAGTGTGTGTGGGGGGATGATAGGGTTTCTGAGTGTGTGTGTGGGGATGATAGGGTTTCTGAGTGTGTGGGGGATGATAGGGTTTCTGAGTGTGTGTGTGGGTGATAGGGTTTCTGAGTGTGTGTGGGGGGATGATAGGGTTTCTGAGTGTGTGTGTGGGTGATAGGGTTTCTGAGTGTGTGTGGGGGGATGATAGGGTTTCTGAGTGTGTGTGGGGATGATAGGGTTCTGAGTGTGTGTGGGGGGATGATAGTGTTTCTGAGTGTGTGGGGGATGATAGGGTTTCTGAGTGTGTGGGGATGATAGGGTTTCTGAGTGTGTGTGTGGGTGATAGGGTTTCTGAGTGTGTGTGGGGGGATGATAGGGTTTCTGAGTGTGTGTGTGGGGTGATAGGGTTTCTGAGTGTGTGTGGAGGGATGATAGGGTTTCTGAGTGTGTGTGGATGATAGGGTTTCTGAGTGTGTGTGGGGGGATGATAGGGTTTCTGAGTGTGTGGGGGGATGATAGGGTTTCTGAGTGTGTGTGGGGATGATAGGGTTTCTGAGTGTGTGTGGGGGGATGATAGGGTTTCTGAGTGTGTGGGGGGATGATAGGGTTTCTGAGTGTGTGGAGGGATGATAGGGTTTCTGAGTGTGTGTGGGGATGATAGGGTTTCTGAGTGTGTGTGGGGGGATGATAGGGTTTCTGAGTGTGTGGGGGGATGATAGGGTTTCTGAGTGTGTGTGTGGATGATAGGGTTTCTGAGTGTGTGTGGATGATAGGGTTTCTGAGTGTGTGGAGGGATGATAGGGTTTCTGAGTGTGTGTGGGGGGATGATAGGGTTTCTGAGTGTGTGGGGGGATGATAGGGTTTCTGAGTGTGTGTGGAGGGATGATAGGGTTTCTGAGTGTGTGGGGGGATGATAGGGTTTCTGAGTGTGTGGGGGGATGATAGGGTTTCTGAGTGTGTGTGGGGATGATAGGGTTTCTGAGTGTGTGTGGGGGGATGATAGGGTTTCTGAGTGTGTGTGGGGGGATGATAGGGTTTCTGAGTGTGTGGGGGGATGATAGGGTTTCTGAGTGTGTGTGGAGGGATGATAGGGTTTCTGAGTGTGTGTGGGGGGATGATAGGGTTTCTGAGTGTGTGGGGGGATGATAGGGTTTCTGAGTGTGTGGGGGGATGATAGGGTTTCTGAGTGTGTGTGGGGGGATGATAGGGTTTCTGAGTGTGTGTGGATGATAGGGTTTCTTAGTGTGTTGGGGGATGATAGGGTTTCTGAGTGTGTGTGGGGGGATGATAGGGTTTCTGAGTGTGTGTGGGGGGATGATAGGGTTTCTGAGTGTGTGGAGGGGATGGCGGGGTTTCTGAGGGTGTGTGGGGGGTAGCGGGGTTTCTGAGTGTGTGTGGGGGGATGATAGGGTTTCTGAGTGTGTGGGGGGATGATAGGGTTTCTGAGTGTGTGGAGGGGATGGCGGGGTTTCTGAGGGTGTGGGGGGGGTAGCGGGGTTTCTGAGTGTGTGGTGGGGGTGGCGATGTTTCTGGGTGTGCGAGGCGGGTGGCGGGGTTTCTGAGGGTGGGGGTGTGACAGGGTTTCTGAGTGTGGGGGCTCCCCCACTTGGTGGCAGGTGTTCTGAGTGCTCTGGGCTCTGGGAATAGTCCATCTCCCCTGGATGCAGCCGCCCCAGCCTGGAGGCTCACAGTGGGAGGCCAGCTGCCTGTGGGATGTGTTTGGGGTTTTTAGGGGCCCCTCCCATAGCCATTGTCTGTGTAGGGGCCTTTGGGGTGGCGGGTGGGTTCCAGGGGCGCAGTGTGGGGCCAGGCAAGTGACACCTTCTCTTCTCCCTGTGACAGGAAGCAGGGCCCACAGCGGCCGAGGCCTCCCAGTTAACAGAATAATTGACGTGGATCTCGTCACTGGCTCAGCGCCTGGGCGGGGTGGCTGCACCATGGGGGCATGGGCTGGCCCTGGGAGGTCCCAGGTCAGCAGTGGGTCTCCTACGTCAGACCTCCCCAGCCTGAGCCCCGTCCCGGGTGAGCCTGCCAAGCACAAGGCCAGCATGCACCACGCCACCTTCGTCTGAGCTGCCCTGGCCTGGCCGACTCTCCTGTGGACACGTCGGGTCGGGGGCAGCCCAAGTGGACTCTCTGGGCCTCAGAAGGGCCACCTGGCCACCAAACCCTCAGGAGCAGAGCCAGGAGGGCAAGGGGTGACCTCGCCGGAGGGACTGGCCCCGGACACTCGCCGTGCTGGCCATGAGGCTCCCAGGCCCAAGCTCAAGGCTGCCCAATAAAGCGCTTCTGAGGACCCAAGTGTTGGCCTCTTGCTGGGTGCTGGAGACACAGACCCTTCATTCTCGGGGACGCAGAGCGCACCCCCGGGAGGTTGTGCAGGAGACAGGGGCCTGAGGAGAAGTGCCCCAGGGTAAGGTCAAGGGGACGTTGAGGAGGGGAGATTGGCTCTCAGGGCCTGAGGGTCAGCACCAGATGGCAGAGACCGTGCCTGTTGAGTCACGTGCGGACCCTGCTGCTGCTGTCCTGGGCCCCCTGCCCCGGCCTTGTTTATTGGGCTGGTCTGAGGGCCTTTCTGGGGAGGGACCATCTAAACTACAACTTGATGGCAGAGGAAGTCTAGAAAGAGCCCCAGCCTGTGCCAAGGCCTTGGGCTAAAGAGGGTCTGAGTACAGAAAGCGAGCCGGTGTCGCTGAGAGGGAGGCCGGGCCACAGGGCTGGGCTGAGTCAGAAGAGGCAGGGCCATCTCCCAGGTTGCCTCGATGGAACCCCTAACGCTGAGGAGCCTCAGGACAGGGTGATCGGTGAGCTCCTCAGAGCATCCCAGAGGCCTGAGAGCACAGCAAGTCCCCTGAGTCTGTTCTAGAAGCTTCCAGGGAGTGGATGGACCCCAGTTAGTGGTGCTCTGGGAAAGGGGCTGGGGGAGGGGTTGGAAGGGAAGATGGAGCTTGGTACCAGCTGTATGTACCACCCATCACGGTGCCCATTGTGCCCTCAAGACCCACTGTGCTCCCAGGGCCCACTTCCCCCTTTACCCACCTTGCCACACCCACCACCTTGCCCCTCACCATGACTGGCACCCACCATGCCCCCGGGACCGACCTCGCCCTCTCACCCACCATGCCCCTGTGACCCACCTTGCCCTCACACCCACTGTGTCCCGGGACCCACCACGCCCTCTCACCCACTGTGCCCCTGGACCCACCATGCCTCCTTACCCACTGTGCCCCTGGAACCACCACGCCTCCTCACCCACTGTGCCCTGGACCCACCACACCTCCTCACCCACTGTGCCCTGGACCCACCACGCCTCCTCACCCACTGTGCCCCTGGAACCACCACACCTCCTCACCCACTGTGCCCTGGACTCACCACGCCTCCTCACCCACAGTACTCCTGGGACCCACCGTGCCTCCTCACCCACTGTACCCCTGGGACCCACCGTGCCTCCTCACCCACTGTACCCCTGGGACCCACCATGCCTCCTCACCCACTGTGCCCTGGACCCACCGTGCCTCCTCACCCACAGTACCCCTGGGACCCACCGTGCCTCCTCACCCACTGTACCCCTGGGACCCACCGTGCCTCCTCACCCACAGTACCCCTGGGACCCACCATGCCTCCTCACCCACAGTACCCCTGGGACCCACTGTGCCTCCTCACCCACTGTACCCCTGGGACCCACCGTGCCTCCTCACCCACAGTACCCCTGGGACCCACCATGCCTCCTCACCCACAGTACCCCTGGGACCCACTGTGCCTCCTCACCCACAGTACCCCTGGGACCCACTGTGCCTCCTCACCCACAGTACCCCTGGGACCCACTGTGCCTCCTCACCCACAGTACCCCTGGGACCCACTGTGCCTCCTCACCCACAGTACCCCTGGGACCCACTGTGCCTCCTCACCCCCAGTACCCCTGGGACCCACTGTGCCTCCTCACCCACAGTACCCCTGGGACCCACTGTGCCTCCTCACCCACAGTACCCCTGGGACCCACTGTGCCTCCTCACCCACAGTACCCCTGGGACCCACCGTGCCTCCTCACCCACAGTACCCCTGGGACCCACTGTGCCTCCGCATTTACTGCGTCCTGGGACCCACCATGCGTCCATGTCCACTGTGCCCCTGAGCCCATGGTGTCAAGCTGGATGATCTGTGGGTGTCCATTCTTTCTCCCTCTGTGCAGATAGGCAAATGGGGCCGCAGAGAGAGGGGGTTTAGGGTACACAGGGAGGTGGCTTCAGCCCTCGCTGGTCACCAGGCCACAGTGGTTCGCCGGCGCCTCCTCCCACCTTGGAATGCAGCTGCTGACTCACGGGGAACCCGAGGCGCCGTGGTGGCTGCTCCAATGTTGCAGAAGAGGTTCCCCAGGCAGCTCTGCCCACAGCCCCAGGTCACGAATTCCGTGACTCCAGCTCCATCCAGGTGGCGGTGGCATCCCCATCCCAGGCCCCATCTGGGGCCCCCGCCTGGGTTTAGGCTACAGGGTCAGGGGAGGCGGACTTGGCCTGGACCATCCAGGTGGTGGTGGGGAACTGGGGTTGGAAAGGCTTCCTGGAGGAGGTTCCTGGGTCTGTCTGGGAGAGGAGGAGGAAGGGACACTCTGAACATCGCCAGGGGCTGGTGGGGGGCCCTGGCCACCCCCAGAGTCAAGATAGGTGGGTGGGGCAGGCCCTTGGGTCATCACGTGCTGCTCTCGGCCATCCCATGGCCCCTCACCTCCCTGTGCCTGGCCTTTCGGTCAACCCTGGGGCCACTGAGAGGAGGCAGCGCCAAACCCTCTGGGAGTCCCCGGTGCTGCTGCCATTTGTGGGATGTGGACAATGCTGTCCCTACCACTACTGTCTGCCGTGCTGGGCACAAGACTGGACCCCTCAGGCTCAGCACCCACAGCGGCTCTCATCATGGACAATTCACGGGCCCACAGGGACTGGGAGTGGTGCCAGACTCTCTAGGCCCCAACCTATCTGCATTATCCTGGAAGACTTCCTGGAGGAGGCTTCTAAGCTGAGGCCCGAGGACCATGTCAGGTCTAGGATCAGGACCAGTGGAGGCCAAGGCCAGAGTGGGACAGCTGGGTCTTCGGGTAGCGGCAGAGTGAGGTAGGCAGCAGGCGTGGTGGTCAAGGGACTCGGGGACTTCCTCCCTGACTGGACCTGCCCGACATGGGAGGCTGCCAGGGTTAATCATTTCCATAAGGCCTTGACCCCACCTTCCCTGGCCGCTCTGCTCCCGCCTCCCGCTGCCCCTCAGGCCTGCTCAGGAGCCATGGGGTGCTGGGCCTGGGTTCCCAGCCCCTGCCCGCCACTGGGGCTGGGCCCCTTCCTCCTTCTCCTCTTGCTGCTGCTGCCGCGGGGGTTCCAGCTCCATCCTGGCGGGGTGAGCACTGACCCTGACATAGTGTGACCAGAAGCTCCCTGTGGCTACTCGGGGTCCTTGGGAGGAGGCCAGAGGGAAGGTCACTGCTGAGCGGGGGCTTGGGGAGCCCAGCAGGGGCTCAGGTTGAAAACTGGCCTCACGGAGCAGGTGGATGCTGGGCTGGCCTGGGGGCTGGGTTCCTGTCCGGGGGCTGTTCTGTGTGTCCTGGCCTGGGCCCCTGTGGGTCTGGGGGCTGCTCCTCTCTGGGCCTCTGTCGGGTCTGGATGCCTGAGGTTGGGGAAACCTCCGAGAACCTCCCAGCTGCTCCCATCCACCCAGACCTGACCTCAGAGTATAAGCCTGGTGGGTGGCAGTGCCTCAGCCTGGGCAGTGACCCTGAGCAGGTGCTAACTGGGGGCCCTGGGTGGGGAAGGGTCAGGGCCCGGCTGAGGACAGGAATGTCGTGTGTCCTCCTGGAACCTGCTCCAAGATCTGAGGGCCCCAGCAGGGAAACAGGCTCGGGGCTGTGGCCTCCTGCCCGGCAGGACCTGAATGTGAGGGTCCACCCCGCACTGACACCCTCTCTGCTCCTCCTAGAACTACACGGACTCCCCAGAACCTAATGCCACAGTGACCCCTGAGATCCCCACTATCCTGGTGACCTCTGTAACCCCTGAGATCCCAGCAACGAGTGCTCCAGAGGCAGAGGGACCCCAAGGTGGGGTGTTGCTGCCCTGGCACAGGGCAGTTCCCTTGAGCAGTAGCCCCCAGGCCCAAGGTGAGTCAGGTGGGCTCTGGGAGGTGGGATCGGGCTTCACCTCAGGGCTGGGTGGGAGGAGCATGGTTGAGGCTGGGGTGCCCTGAGGGGGTCGGGTGCCCCTGGGTGGAGCGCTGACCCTGCCACCCCTCCCCACAGCACTCACGGAGGACGGGCGGCCCTGCAGCTTCCCCTTCCGCTATGGGGGCCGCATGCTCCACGCCTGCACCTCAGAGGGCAGCGCTCACAGGAAGTGGTAGGTCTGGGCGGCCGGGGCACCCCAGCTGGGGTCCACCCTGCACTGCCTGCTGCTCTGGGGGCTGGGCACACAGCAGCACTCACCACGCAGCAGGCAGACCCAGTGAACTCAGACCCTCCAGGGTCGTGGGGTGGGGGAACCTCTGCCTGGGACCCTCATGCAAGCAGGTGTTGCCCCCCAGGTGTGCCACAACTCACAACTACGACAGGGACAGGGCCTGGGGCTACTGCGTGGAGGCCACCCCGTCTCCGGGGGGCCCAGGTGGGTGCCTGGTCGGGGAGCCTGGTTCCGGCAGGGGGTGCTGGGCCTGGCCAGAGGGGCCAAGGGGGTAATGGGTTGGACCCAGGCAGGAGTCCTGCCTGGAGGGGAGCAGAACAGGGGCTCTGGGGTTAACCCTGGTGGGTGCCACCCAGGGCTGGAGCCTCCCCCAGGTGGAACCCGTGTCTCACAGTATCTGTACAGCCATCGCGGGTGCAAGGCGCCGCCTGGTGGTAGAGGCCAAGCCCTTCAGCCACATAGGCGAGCCCCGGGCAGGGGACAGGCAGGCCCCTGGTGGTGCCGGCTGCCCTGCTCACACATGGGAGAGGCACATGGGAGGGGCTGCTGCCTGACAGTGTGGGTGTTGGGCTTTCAGGGAGCCAAGCACAGAACTGGGCCAGCAGCCAGGTGTTGAGTAAGGGACACTGGGAAGGAGGGGAGGTTGGTGGTCCTCCCAGGGGCCTCGCACCCCCGAGGGACATGGATAGGGCCCCTTTGCTCCCAGAGCCCCTCACCGGGGCCTGATGGAGGCTTGACGAGTAGGGGTATCATAGAGGGACCCTGAGGCTCCAGCCTTCTCATCACGGTCCCTCCTGCACATCCCCAGCTGGCCCAGAACCCTGTGCCTCCAGCCCCTGCCTCAATGGGGGCTCCTGTTCCAACACC